AGAACAGAGCCACTTGTGCCGCCGTGGGGAGACTGAGGACTGGAGTGACATGGCTGGGGACATCCGAGCCCCCATCACCCCCTGGATGCAGCTGACATGGCATCACCTTGGATGTGGAGGATGCTCTCACAGGAGATGATGGCGATGCAGGAGACAGGATGGTCCCAGTGGGGTCTGAACCCTAAAAAGCCACCCTTCCCATCCCCGAGGAGACCGACCTCACGTCCACGTGCAATATTTCTGCCTCTTCCGTGTTTCCTGCACCCGAGGGTGCCCGTGTTTCATTGTGGGGGGCTCCTGGAGGGTGTCACCTCGCTCCCTCCCATGGAAACTCCTTTTTCTTGATGCTTTGTGGCCAAAACACAGCTCTCTGGGGTAGATCTTTGCAGTGCCTCAGACTTCTGTAACGCTCGTCTGCCAGAACCATCCTTTCCCGGTGCCAGTCAATGTTCCCAATGAATGTGATGCTGCTGTAATTGCCTCTGCTGATAAATGACGGACCCCGCCATGTTTGACATAGTACCCAGGCAAAGACAAACCTCATTTGCTCTGACACTTTCCCATGAAAGGCTTTTAATTTTCGGAGGACCTGCCATGCTTTGAGCTCCATTAGTGCTGGCCGATGTCTCATCAGGAAGGCAGCCCTGCAAGGGCAGGGGGTTTATGGCCTCATCATGGGTGGAGTGAGGTACCGGCATCGGTTTGGGAGAGCTTCAGACCCCAGAAATACCAAAATCGGTGTCCACCAGGCTGCTGCTACTGGTGGGCTCAGGGATGGAGCCCAATGCCTCGTCCTCCCTTGCCCCTTCTTAAATATTTGCACATTAAAATGATTTTTTAAAAATGAGCAGAAGGTGGAAAAAAAAGGTTTTGGACTGTGTTCAAAAGCTCTGTGCCAGCTGTGAGGACCCCATAGGTTTGGTGGCAATGGTGAGTTTAGGTGACGGCTGGCTCTTGTCCTGGGTCCCAGTGTGGGCTCTGTCTTGCCCTGCTCTTGGCTTGCTGAGCATCCCCAAGCAAATTATTTTGGCCCCAGTATTCCCCCCTGGCTAAGGATTTGGGACCCTGGCTTGGATGCTTCTGAATTCCCTTTGGGGAGCACTGAGGGCCCCTGACTCCTCCTGAACATCACCAGGACCTGCAGCTTCTCGGTACGGCTGAAAACAAGGCTTGAAGCATCTCGCGCTTGGAAATGTTGGCCTTAACCTCCTCGTGCCTCAGTTTCCCCATCAGCGAAAAGGCCTGGATGAGCCATCCCCCCTCCGGAGAGCGATTCGATGCCTGTGCCCGGGTGTGGGGTACGGCTTGCGACTGTGACCGGGCTGGTTTGGCAGCACCCACCCAACATCAGACACGTGTGGAGCACCGGGAGTGGGGCACGAACCGCTGGGTCGTTTACATGGAGTTTACATCAGCAAATAATTAATTTCAGTCTTTCTTTTTACACCCGGTTGTTATCAAAAGCCAACAGCCAACAGGACCCGATTTGTTTCTGTTTAATGTCGGGTTCCTGATGCCCGTCTGAAATAAACCCGGCTGCAGCCCTGGCGATGGGCAGGAGACCCAAAACACAGCCAAGCAGAGGCGAGGGTCCAGCCCCGATGGCTGCAGCGCGTCCCCCCCACCTCTCATTTGTCCCTGTCGGTGTTGCCCCATTAAAATGCCATGTCTGTATTTTCCTTTTATTCCATTTTTCTGTCTGTGTGCTGGCCGTTGCTGTTTCGTAGCCGCCTTTCCTCCAGCTCTGGGGCTGAGCTGTGTCCCTCGAGAGCCAGGATGTGGGTGCAGTTATCCCACCCCACCATCCTCTCATCATGGCAGCACCCAAGAGAGAGCAGTGAAGCTGGTTTTTCTTTTGGAGCAGCCCATTAATTTCTGTGATTCATAATGAGGTGCTCCCTGTTGGGTTTGTGGCAGGAATGTTTCTGTATGGGGGACCCCAGACCCCATTTGGGCTGCGTACCAGCTGCATCTTGCCCAACCACGTGGAAGTGGGTGCCCATCAGTGCTTGCATCCCAGTTGGATGGGGGAGATCCCTGAAACTGGAGCAGGGCTGGCTTCAAAGCAGGGCCAGGCACGGCATGGAGGCAGCTGAAATTGCTGGCAGAGCTGCCCCCTTCCCATATATTTTGGGTGAGGGGGTTTGAACGGGATGGGTGGTGACCCACAGCCAACTTCCTGTCCCATCATCCCCAGGGTAAAAGGGGGATCTGGGACATTTTGAGAGGGCATCAGCCACGCCTCCTGCATGGGGCATTGGAGAGGAGGGGACCAGCTGGGGCAGAAGTGAGAGCTGGGGGCGAAGGAGGGAGCTGACGGCCCTGCTTCCAGTGCAGCAGCTTGGGGATCTCCTTGCAGAGCAGTTCTGGGGTCTCAGTTACACGTGCCAGCCCTGACTGGTCCAACGGCGCTGCAGGAAAAGCCATCCTTCCCTGCTCTCTCTGTCCCTGGGGCTGCCAGCCCTGGGCTGGGTGCTGTGTCCCATGGGTGCCTGTGTCCCATGGGACCCCTGCCCTGGGGGGCAGCTGAGCCCCTGGCTGAGAAACAGCATCTGCAGCACAGAGCCGTGTTTGTGAAGATGAAGCCTGTTTGTGCGTCCGTGCCGGTGTCTCGGCTTGCATGCCCCGCTGCCTTGTCTTGAGATGAATTCAAGAGCAAACCAAGCAAACAAAACAGTTTAAAAAAAACACCAACAAAAAACAAAACAAACAACAAAAGAAAATAAAACAAAACCCAGGAACTTTGTGACAGTGGAAATAAAAGCTTAATGACAGTAACGAAGCCCCTGTGGTTTGTGTTTGGGGTGAGCGGGGGTATGGGTCTGGTTCGCTGCCTCCCCTGTGCTCAGTGGGGTCCAGAGCTGGGCTGGGAGCCAAGAGGCAGGTGTATGGCAGGGACCCTGGGCAGCCATGGGTGCCCACCCTGTGATGAGCTGTCAGGTCTCAGCTCCAGGCACATCAGGGACCACTCACCCCCCTCCCAACTGGTCCTTCCACCTCAGCTTTTCTTCTGCCAGGTCCTGTCCCCTCAGCACACTCATCCTATCTTCTTTTTCTCTTTTGTAGCCATGCTGTGCCCACCTGCTCCGTCCCCATCTCCCCCAGGCCTCCTTGATGCAGCAGGCTGAGAGCTGTCAGATTGTTTTTGACACACAAGGACTGCTGAGGAAGCCTGATATGAATATCTTGTAATTATGCCTTACTGCTCATAACGGAGGTGCCCCTTGGCTGCCCACCTGCGTTTGGCTGGGTGAGCAGAGGGCTCACAGCCTGGATCAGGCTTTTCACGTGCCGCAGGATTGCGTTTGCCATTCTGCCTTGCCAAATCTTCTGGAAACAAGCACTGCAAAGCCTCCCAGCTTCGTTTGTTTGCTCTCCTAACGAGGCTGAGTTAATTATTTTTGGGAGGCCAGAGATGCCCTAATGGTCTAAACAAGGAGGCTGTGTTTGTACGGTGGGTTTTGTTTGGAGGTGCCTTGTGCCAGCACATGGCGGGGGCACCCGGGGATTTATCCCCTCATGCCAGGGTGCGGGTGAGGACAGACACAGGCTCCAAACCACAGTGGGGACCCGGCGGTGACCTTGCTTTGCTGTGCTTTAATCCCCAGCAAGGAAGGGGTTAAAGCCCAGTTAGGGCAGGTGTGACTGGGACTGGGAGCACTGGTAGGTGTGAGAGGGGCTGGCTGGGGTTAATTTAGTGATGGGGAAAGGCTGTTGGGGTTTCTTTGTGCCAGTAGCGCTGGGGAGAGGTGCTCCATGCTGGGACGCAGGGTTGGTAGCCAGAGATGCTCTGCAGTAGGTTTGGTGGCACTGTGGGGTGGAGCCCCCCCTCCCACCCCCAGAGTTTGCAGTGAGTGTGGGGATGGGGGGGTGCAGAGCCTGGGTGGTTCAAGGGGCTGCAGTTGAGTGGCTGTGGGGCAGGAGGCGGACAGGCCACCGGCACAGCTCATTCTGGCTGCCCCCTTTGCTCTGCTGCAGGGGGAGGGTCTTTGCCCGCTCCTAGGACTGTGCTAGGCTAAGCCCAGGCTTGCAGGGATGTGTGGGGCAGAGGATGCACATGAGGATCCCCTGCCCTGTGTGTGGGATGGGTGGTCCCTAATTCCTCCCAGCCCCTATGTTCGGGAGGAGCAGGGCTGACACCAGCGAGGTGCTGGGGGTGGGAGCGGGGCGCTCAGCCGGAGGCAGGATTTGGCCCTGGGTGCGCAGCCTAACCTGGAGCCGGGCCTTGACTGCGGCCGCTCCCTGGGTCCTGCTGGGGGGGGATTGGGGACGAGACTTTTTTGGGGGGCCCTGAGCTCAGTTTTGAGGGGGCCAGGACAAGCTGGACAGCCCCCGCCAGCACTTCTGGCCAACGGCTCTGCTTCCAGTCCAGCACGGCGCTTCCCAGCCCTTGTCCTGGCTTTGTC